CAAAACTTTTGGTTCCCCCGAGTCCCATGGACAAACATCTGCCCGAGTGCTGTCCTGCTTTTTCAAAACTTTTGGTTCATCTGAGTCCCATGGACAAACATCTGCCCGAGGGCTGTCTTGCTGGTTCAAAACTTTTGGTTCATCTGTCTCCCATGGACAAACATTAAGAGGTGTTTTCAGTGCCTGAGGTATATTAGTGTCTGCAGTTTTTTCTGAGCTATCTGTTTCCCAGGGACACACATTTACTTTAGTTTTTTCTGTCACTTCAGTCTGTATGGAGGCAGCTTTTATTGGTGATGGACCTTTTCCTGAATCATCTGCTGTGTCTTTTTCAGTTTCCCAGGGACAAATATCAACCTTAATTGTCATTTGTGAATATGTATTAGGGGATTCTTTCCTCCCACCTTCCAATGAGCAAACATCTTCCTTGACTTTAGGTGTAACAGGGAAATCCAAAGGACAGCCTTCTGTTGTCCTGGACACTTGCTCCGCTCGATTCTTAGCAGGTGATCTTGAGCTGTCGGGTTGATTATTGCTCTTGACTTCAATGGATGTACCAGGATAAACGGCAGATCTGATGGCTTCTTGTCTCAGGGGCACCGTTAGAGTTCCTTTGTTCTCAGAAGGATTTATGTTTTCATATACGCCTTCAGCCTTGCCCTGGATATCCCAAGGACAAACATTAGAATGTTCACTGTCCTGTCGAATTGAAATTTTTGGGGTTTCAACGGTCTCCCATGGGCATACCTCTGTTACATGTTTCAAAGATGGTTGAGTCTGTAAATCTTTGGACAGTGCAGTTTGGGAAGTTTTAAGAATATCCTTTGATTCCCAAGGGCACACTTCGCTTAGACCACTTTCTTGTCCTGGAGAACTACCTTGCTCATGGGATTCCCATGGACATACGTTAGATCGTTCAGATACCTGTGATTCCTGGTGACTGACATCTACTTTGATGCTCTGTTGTTTCTTTGGTCCTTCTCCTTGTTGATTAGGACCAGATCCATCCCACGGATATGCTTCTGAGGGAGAAACATTAGATGCTGGTCTTATTCTATTACTACCTCTTCTACGAGTTGATGGAGTTCTAGAATTACTTGCATTATCCCAAGAACTTATGCTGCTACGCTTGCTGCTCTGCCTTGATAAAAATACACCATCAAAGAGGCCATCTTTTTGTAAATCATCAGCATCCCCGGTGTAGCCAGAAGATTTCATAATCACAAGCCTTCGAGGGCTTCTGTCAGACGAATCCCCAGAGGACAGTCTAACTGCAGTTTGCTTTACAAGGCCGGGTTTTCCATCAGTTGTCGACATACTCATTTTCTGCAGGGACCTTCTGTCCATGCTTGGACGTCTACTAGATGTTCCAGACCTCGGTGTCGTGGAAGTGCTCTCCTGGCTTTTTTGTGAATCTTCTCTATTCAAGACTACATCCTTACTGGACTTGCTATTTGCATCGACGGAACCCATAAAAGATTTAACAGACAGCCACTTAGTATTAGTAGTATTGCGGAAGGAGAAAACACGTTGATCTTTCATTACCATTGGCCTTGGGGAGCCTGGTGCACTTGCAGACACTGTAACTGGTGTTTTGGTGATCCCAATGTCACCATGTGGTTCTTTCTCCTCTGTCGGTTTACTTTCAACAGGTGGTAAGTGGTCCCAGGGGCAGATGAGAGCCTGCGGAGATGCTGGCCTCTTATCCTCACCATCCTCAGAGTTTGCGTATGTCACATGCTTGTTGTTCTTTTCACCTGATTGTTCTGGCCCCACTTCCCAAGGACAAACCTCAGCCTTATCAAATGACTCAGACTGAAGAGCACTCCGTGTCTGGTCACTTATGGACATGCTCTGCCTTGACCGCATTGAGCTGGCTCTGGAGATCTTTGCTATGTTCTCAATTGAATGGGTGGTAGAGGAGCTTAGGCTCCAAGATTTATGTAGTCGAGTGTGATCAGGGTGCAGAAGATTGGTATCAATTGTCAGATTCTGGGCACTGGCAGATTTACAGACACCCGGAGGAATATCCAAAGAATCTGTCTCAGATCTCTGGGAGGCTCTCTTTACAGAATTGGCCCTTAATGTTGAGTCGCGCTGGGAAGAGTCTCTTTCTCTACTATAGTGATGGTCACTTTGGGACTTGCGTATCGATGGTGATCTTATTGAACTTCTGTAATTGATAGAAAAAGTATCTGGGACTATCCTGAAAGAGTCGGAATGACTCCCACATTTACTACGAAAAGATCCATCTCTGTCGTCCCGGCTGCACCGCCGGCTCACCGTTTCTGGGATATCAACAATGCGTTTCATGATGGATCTTCCCAGCGAACATCGAGAACTGCGCTTCTTCGGCAGATGTGGGTTGTTTGCAGACATCTTCTTCGTCTTGTGGACTTCTAACTGGGTGTATAACTTCTTCAGTTCATCCTGGTGCACAGGAAGAAGGAAGGGAGATGACGATGGGATTGAGCGAAGAGTTGAAATGATTGAAGAAAGGAAGAGACAATGAAAGTAACAAGTCAGGGAACATGAAAAATATTAACATGTAAAGAGCACAATTTAGGGTAGAAAAAGGATATAGGATGGAAAAAGGTGATAAGTTTGCTTACTTTCATCAACTGAACGTATTACTTATTAATTCATTATTTAAATTATAAAGGTTTTAAGATTTAGTTATGTGGCGCTGCATTTAATCAAAAGTAGAATTACAAGGCTTTATTTTTCTTCTTTAAATGTGGGTTTCAAGATTTGTTCTACGTTTTGTGAATTATGCCTCAGTGTAAAGTGATAACATCTGTCTGATGAGAATAGAAAGTTTACCCGGAAGTCATCCGGTTCCACACTGCGCTCACTCCAAGCAGAGCGAAAGCTGTTGTTGAGGCAGGAGCCGGTGCGCCGTAGATCCACTTCATCCTCATAGACCTCTGCTGCTATCTCCTCTCTCCTGGGCTTTTGTACATGCAGAAACTACACAAGCATGCAGAAATGTATAGGTTAGGTAAGTTGTTTGTTTGTGGGGTCCAGGTTTTCTTCATTGGCTTGAAAATCGTACAAAAACAATGGCTGGGGTGGTGTGAAATTAAACAAAATTCAGGACCCAGAATGATTCACAAGGACATAAATGTTCCACCAACTTTGTATAAGATAGAAAAAAGTCAAAACCTATATGTCCTCTGATGCTATCAGTGGATAGGAGTTCTACTGATAAGATACATACTAACATACATTCCAGACTATAGGAATGTAAAGCTGAATACAGGGAGCTGAACGACAATTTACTGCTCATTTACCCACAAATGAATGTACATAAATGCTAAAATATACAGTTTGTATATTAGACACAACATTGTTAGACTTTTAAGTCAGAGACTTCTTCAGGTGCATTCCCGCCCACTACACAATTCCGGAAATGACCAATGTTTCAACAAAATAATGTGATGGTTCATTTGTTATTGTTAATACTATAGTTTTCATAACTCAGTACAATTACATTTTGTTTTCAGAGTATTTATTTTTCCAAAAATATAAATTATCTGTTTACATGACATACAAATGTTCAATACCTTTGGAACAAAGAGCAGGGCCAGTGTCACTGTGATAGTGACGTGAGTGTGCAAGAAGGAGAGAAGTAGCATCCAGTCAGGATGGAGAGACTGAAAGGTAAACCTGAGGGAGGCAGAAAAAACACAAACTCATCCCTTGTCAGTGGAAGCTGCCCGAATGCCTTTGAACTAAATTGTCTGCATTACCGGAACAAATGGAACATGGAGGAGAGCAGCAGCTCGTTGTGGATGGCGATGCCCATGTAGCGAGGTTCGTGGAAGGCAGAGGGGACCGGCCTGACTGCAGTCCACAGGGAGCTACCCCAGCACAGGAAGAGAAGCTCGGCTGGGACAGAAAAACAAGTCAATGTAGTAACAAGAAACAGTTTGAACAATGAAAAAATAGTCTATTCTAAATGTTACATAAATACCAATTTTGATAAATATTAACCCCATTGGATAGCTTTTGGCCTAATGCATTTAACACATCTATTGTAGTTTAGCTTTTTCCTTCAATAAAGGGATTTCTTCTATTAAAACCTGACAAATGATTTACTTTAGTAAACCCTGATATGGCATTATTGATAGCCAAATATGTGACCTAAACTAAAAAAAACTGCTGGTAAAATTTGACAATGGCTTATTTAGTCTTACTTGTAATCCCTACTTGAGTACCATTTCAATAAAAACATGTAGTAATTGTGTATTTAAGCTACATTTTGTGATTTGATCGAGTAATATAAAAACAAAAACTTTCTTTAGGTTCAGAAATTTGAAGGTATGACCTACTTGAATTGAACTAAACAGGATGGTGGTAAGTCAGCGTTGGAGTTCATTCCTCAGTCTCTTGCTCTGTGTAGTTGTTTACCTTCATTTCTCCATGCATTCTATCCTGTTTTTAGACATTGTCGTCCCTCCTAGTTATGGCCAGTTCCTCCGTTTAATCATCACATCAGTTCTTTGCAATTTTAATCTTATTGGTCATTTTCTACGTCACGTTCATAATTAATCTGTCGTTCAAGTTTTGTTTTTCTCCGTTAAGTTTATGGACTTTTCAGGCTCTGCTACATTTTTAGTTTCGGTTTCTGAAAAAAAGCTAATGTCAAGTCTTCACCTGCCTCCAGTTCATTCGTTCTGTATCTAAATCCTCGGCTCCCTGCCATCCGCAACCACAACAAAGGGTGAGAACAGTCTTCCGCTCACCCACGGCCATCATGTAGTCCCAGCGGTCCACGTAACACAGGCTGAAGTCCTGTCCGTCGGACGTGGTGGCCGTGACGAACACTGGGATGTTTCGGTCGCGGTTCTGCAGGACGCCCACCGTCCACGCGCAGAGGAACCAGCTGGCCGTCATCAGCATCACCCCCAGAATCCTCAGCAGGTGGAGGCTGGACATGTAGGGCACTCGCTGGGCTGTACGCGACAGGAAGACCTTCAGCACCCTGCGCAGACCACAGTGGACCACAGTTCAGTGGACGAATGGAGAATTCAAGATGCTTTGAGGATTGCGGCTTAGGTAAGAAAACAAATCATACGTCTACATAATTTTCTTTTCCATAAGCAGGAATACTTTTGTTTGATTAACTTTTCCTTTGCCTCAAGTAAGTCAGAATAAGCTGAAATAACTACAACCTCGCCTGCTCCTCATATAATTGTTTTCTGTCTATTTTTAAGAATCTGGTTGTATTGACAGATTTATTTAATCAAACTAATTGACTATCTGATTAACCTTGTGTTAGTGATATCTGATCAAAATTCTGACAATTCCCCAATATATTTGTATTCAGGATTGAGTTTTCCTGATTTTTTATCGTAAAGGATTCAGACATTTACCGATTTTTCAGTATTTGATGCTGCAAATAATAGGAGGTCATTCTTCAATCACTTTACAATAATTTTTTACTCTTAGTACTCCAGAAATGTATTTTTTAATACAGAAAACAATTAATTCAGTCCTGGCTGTGATCATACCCCCATTCTTGCATGCAACTCAAAATAAAGAACTGTCTCAAAGGAGGTTGGAGTTTACAGTATGTTTCCATAAAATGCGATCAGAGCTCACTGACCTGTACATCTTCAGTGTGATGGTGCCGTAGACGATGGAGAAACCGAGCATTCGAACCCAGCGGAGCAGAATACACCTGAAGGTGCTTGGCTTGAAGTACAAAATGAACACCTGCAAAGACACAATAGTTTATGTTGAGCCATCCCAACTGATTGCACACTATCTTTACCGTATAACTCATTTACATCGTACAAAACTACCACTTTATATAGTGTAAATGTTCCTGTTGGACGGTGTTTGCGATCGGCCCTTAATACAAAATTAATTATGGGAGTACAAGGCTGCTAGCAGAGCTTTTCACCATAAGTACCTCTTAGAAAAACGAATGCTTCCTCCTCTACTACTACCCCAACTCCTGACCTGCAGCATTTACTTACCATTTAGGAAAAAATTTGAGACTGCACATCTAGAAATACTGTACTGGCTGTCATGTTAATATTACTTATACTTGACTATATTTTTACTTCGGCAGAGGACTGCCTACTCCTTCCACTGCTAGTCACTTGACAAATAGTGATTGCTTTTAATATTTGGAAGTTCCAGTATGCGGGTCAGAGGATCAGACATTACTCCATTAGCACACACAGAAGCCACACAATGAATCATTTCCCAGTCATGTGCAGTTCTGTACACACTGACCCTTTCTCCCATAGGAGCAGGCTTTCATCAGCTGACACTTTCAGGTGATGAAAAAGGCTTCCATTAGCAGCTCTTTGATTGGTCAAATTAATCAAAAGATTGACAGTTCATGACCAGAGTAGGGGGATGTTATGAAATGTTGACTGCCTGCCAGCCCAACCCATTACAAAATCCACACACCTCGTCTACCGTTCGTGAATCATCCATTATGATATAATCCTCGGCGCTGTGCTGCGCTGTCATTTACAAAGAGCTCTGATCTACAGCACGTTGAAAGCCAAGTCAGTTGGAAACTCACCGGGAAGTAGAGGAGCAGAGAGCCAAAAAGGATCATCTCCAGGAGCAGGAGGCCAGATGCCCGGATCCTCTGAA